GCCGCAGCCTCCGCCGCGGCCCAGCTCCAGCTAAGAGCCTGGGCTGGCTGGGTCCCGTCCCCTCCATGTGTCGTCTGTCCAAAAACTGAGGGTGCCTGCTCCGGCACGGATGTTGCCTCGGAGGAGCAGCCTCACCCCCGGAGACGCTGGGGCGGGAGGGCCTGGAAGGTCCTCGGAGGCAGCAGTGCTGGCACAGGCCGGCGGAGAGGGGTTTTAGCAGAGGCTTTTCTTAGGCAACTCAGGACTGTGCTGCTGCTGAGGCACTGTCCACCAGCTGGCATGGAGCACCAGGGCATTGCGGCGGTGGATGGAGAGAAGCCGCGAGGGGCCAGGTCTTAGAAGAGACGTCCAGCTTGCTCGGCCCCTTGTCAGCAAAAGCCCGTAGTGAGCGTGCTCCAGGCTGGAGGTGCTCGGTGTCTGCAGCCCCTCGCTTTTCTTACTTTGGGATCCTTCCTCTTCCCCTCCCAGTGCATGCGTGAGGGATTTGGAGCCGTCCCTGCCACGTGACAGCGTGGAGTGCATGGGCAGAGGTCCAGTCCCTATGGCGACGGCTGCCCAGTGCCACGCACAGCTCAGTCCAGATCACGTCCTCCCCCGGCACAGACTGAGACCCGTTTGGCCAGGGGAGAGCTCGTGCGTGCCGTTCCCATAGCCCGTGCCATCCCTAAGCTGCCTGTAGAGAGTGGCCCAGCAAGAGAGATTAGTTATTCCCCCAAACGAGGCCCTGCCATCTGCGCAGTACTGTTGCTGCAGGGGCAGACTAGAAGAGCCTGGCTAGAGGCTGCATCTCCTATCTGGGGCCAGTGTGACCAGCAAGAGGGGTGCCGAGGGGTCCCAGGTAGCAGGGGCCAAAGCCTGTTGTGCAGCACTGTGCGCTTCAACACTAGTCTGTCCAGCATGACCCAAGCCTTGTGCACTCACCAGCAAAAGTGCCAGGCGACCCTTCTGCTGCAGGGGTAGCTGAAGCCCTTGCCTAGGGCAGGCATGTGCCAGGCCGTGCCTCGGCTGGCGCTCAGCACTGCACTGCACGGACCCTGGGGCATTTCTGATGGCAGGAGTGGCTTGCCACCCATCTCCTCCTCCGCTGGTCTTTAAAAGCCCCCCATCCAGCTACGCCAGACAATCAGGAGAAGCTGTCCCCTTTCTGTCGGCTGAGAGCAGTCTGCAGGGCGCAGGGCATCTGCTTTTCCAGCCCTTGAGATCTTACACAAAGGGCAGGTCGAATCTGAGTAGCAGCAAGAGGGCTGTGAGGTCCCTGCTGCGTTTCAGCCCTTCTGGGCCAGCCCAAGCTGGGAGCTCAGACTTAGTGACAGGCCCCAGATTTGTCTGTGTAGGGAAAAAACAAGGGGAAGAGTAAAAATGACAGGCCAGACCCAGCCTCGCATCAGAGGAAGAAACTGCCGCTAGCCTGTTGGCAAACCCCCAACTTTTGGCTCGTGAGGTTTTGCCAACAGTTTCATAAGGAAGATACCTCTCCTCCAAACTAACCTGTCCATGAAAAACATCAGGCATTGCTGGCAACAGGCACGAAGAAAATTCCCACCCAGCAGCCAGGCTAGGGGAAACCTAGCTCTTTGCATCCCCTCAGATCAGCCAGGACTGCGTGTCTAGAACAGCTGGACATTTAATCTAAATGAGGTCCTGTCTGGACGGGTGGGGGAAGACCCAGAAGTGAGGGGTAAGGTAATAGCTGATCTGCTACCGGATCTGTTAGAGTTGGGAGTGATGGGAGACAAGTGTTCGGGCACAGAAATGCCCTTGCTCAGGTCTGGGATGGAACAAGCTTTCCCCTTGAAGCCCATTTTATTAATGACAGTTGAAATTGGAAGTGATGGTCGGTGACAACTCCTGAGCACTTTGCCTGGCTCCCGCTGGCTTCCCGTCCTGAGGCACCGCGTCTGGACAAGCAGCTGGAGGAAAGAGCGGTTGCTCTCCTGGTACCTAACGGCACGATGAAGATGACCCTAACCACAGCCAAACCACCTCGGGCTGCCTTCCCACCACTGACCAGAAGTGACAACATTTGACCATGTCTCCCCACGGACAGAACTGTGCCTTTGTCTGATTTAGGAGGAAAGTGGGTTTGTAACAGCAAAATCCCCAACAGACACAACCACCCCTGCAGCCTGTCCACCTTGGGAAGAAAGGCCGTGCAGCCCAACAAAACAGTGATCAACCGGGAGTTGCAGTCACCCCCGGCTGCAAGGGACTCATCGGTGAGGCGAACGGGCATCTTGTTGACTCCAGGAAGACCCTCCTCGCCCTTGAAATCTGCTCCCATGATAGCAGATGAGGGAGCCCTAGCAGACCCACCACATCCAGCCGTAGTGCCCTCAACAGCAAGTGACCGGGATTCATAGAAACCTTCGAACCATTTGTTATGCAAAGAGCTGGCTTTCTACAAGACACAGGAGACCTCCACAAGACCAGGAAACCTCCCAGACATACCAAGAAAGCCAGGATTTACAGATGGGCCTCAGCTCCCAGTGCACCCGTTCTGCTGAATGTGCTCGCCTTCATCCAACCATGACACTTCGGCCCACATCTCTGAATGGAAACCCTGCAGCAACCCCCAGCTACCACTGACTGCACACCCCTGCGTTTCCTATGCCACCCTTGACTGGAAGGAAGAAGAGATCTAGTGATTCCAGCTGATGCTCAGTGAGCCTGTCCTGACCCATAAAGCCACCCAAATCTACGGTGCTTCAGCACATCTATCACAAACTGCACCGGGGGCCCTTGTGGAAAGTGTGTGGGTGCAACAAACCCCCCC